TGGTTTATATTTAGTAAACGTTATCTGTATTCACTTAAATAACTATCGATTATACATTTGGTATAAATTTAGCAGTTAGGAAAATATATTTTGGTTGTATGACGAGCGCTCTATTCGGAATTGCCTGATCAGAAAATGGAGTGAGCCCAAGGCATAGCTTCTATATCACTTATTCTAAGCTTCTTTTATACCTGGCACACACACACACTCACCCACACTCACATAAGCCTGCTCTGTGGTTCTCCATCTATGCATTTATATGAATCCTCTAACTTTGTCCTGATCAAGAAAAATGGGAATATACATAGAATGGGTCATACGGTATGACTCATATCTTTCATTTATATACCCTTCTTCCTTAAAAAGGGGTGTACAAGCTGTAATGGATCAGCTTTTCTACAACCATTGATTCAGGCTATATAAAGCAAGTCAAAAATTGATTGATCTAAGCATTTTCATATCAAACAACAAACAGCCTTAGTTTTGAGATATTCGTCTAATATTTCTCATATGTACATACATCTATACGTAGTATATCTCAAATATATCCAATCATATCTATGTCCCACTATACATACACATCTTCAAGTGCTATAAATCTTACTTAAAGACGTGGCAGCATGACTCAATTTCACTATAATATTATAAATTGATTAAAACTCATATCGAAATCATACTTTATACTTATATTCCTCTTATTGTACCATCAAAAGTATGAAACGTCTGCCTTTGTTAGCAACTCGAATTGTCAACTCGAATCAATCATTTATAATGCTGAAACTGAAAAGATTCTTGCTGGCCCTTGGACACTGCCTATAAACCTGTCCGTCCTGGTAAATGGTGTGAAAAGCCGAAACGATCTAGTCAATTGCCCAACATATTGTGTTCTGCTTGGGCCACTCCAAAGAGCGACGACACACACACACACACACACGTCCTGCCCAGATGTGTCAAACGTTTTATGTGGTAATTACCTGAACCCAATCTCCAATCCACAATCTAACCCAATGTGAACCGAAAAACCGTGCCACAACACAACTGAGCAACCTAATCGGCTTAGAGTCAGTAGCGTTAAGCTGATGCTGATGCTTATGGTGATGCCAATGCTGATGCCGATGCGGTTACTCTTGCTATTGTCAAAAAATAAAACAAATGAGTAGAGCACGACTAATAGATGCGGTGCAAAGACCTTTATAACTACATATATAACTAGATCTTTGGCCTCCAGAGTCTAGAGTATTTTTAAGTCTGCTTTCAGGCAGAAATTTGCAAAAAAATAATTTTTAAAAACGTAAAAATGAATAGATAAGAATCTTTAACAATAGTTAAAAACTAAGATTTTAATATAAATGAAAAGAAAAAATTTTTTGAATAAAGAAATAATTTAAAAATCGTAAAAATAATATTTTGAGGAAATTATTTAAAAATTACTCTAAAAAAAAAAATAAAAGAAAGAAAAGAATCCTTAATAATAATAACAAATAAAAATGTACTAAAATTAAAAAAAAAAGTATTTAAAATATCGTTTTAAAAATGTTTTTAGGAAATTTAAAAAAAAAAAAAAACATTAAAAAAAGAAGATAAAAGAGATATTATTAGTTAAAAACTATAAAATAAATATAAATTAAATATTTAAAAAAAAAATTGTTAAAAAATCGTTAAAAATTATTTTTGTTTACCTTAAAAGTATTTAAAGAATCTTACGAAGAAAAAGTAGCATTGCCTATCAAATTAGTTCATTTTAGTTTTCACTTAATCTAAATGAACCTGATGAGAAAAACTGCGTATACATAAGCAAAATGCATTTCAGTAACAACATTATATCATTTCCGACTTCATATAATAGAGATTTGAAACAAAGTGCACAAAAACTATAAATGAGCTATAATTAATTTAAATATGTATATAAAGAATTTCATTTAATATAATATGAAGGGGCTATACAATATGAATATACTAATATATTAGGTTTTTTGGCTTTTGGCTGGAACAACTTCCACTTAACAATGAGCATACCCTTGCACAGTTGCCTGTGTATAGGGTATTCGCAGCTTGGCCACAAACAATTTATTGCCAAGAAACGCGTTGGTCCACGGTTGACAGACGCTCGACTATGGGACAATGGGTCGTCGTGTAATCAATCAAAATTAGTTGTGACTTAGAGGCAGAAGCACAGTAGTGCATATTGTGACAAACCGGCGAGTCGGTGGCCAGCAGAAGCGCAGACGGCTTTAAGCCACATACCAAATGGCATTGCCATGGCCAAGTAAGTAAGCCATTCAAATTTCAATTATGATTGACAAAAAGCCTGGCAATGGAACTGAAACTGGTACTGGAACTGGAGGTGGAATTGTAAGACAAACTATGAACCAATATAGTTGCATTCGTTTCTCTCTCTCTCTCTCTCTCACTCTTTCTGTCCCTCTGTGTGTGCGTGTGTGTGTGTGGCAATGGCTGTGCTGCTTATCCAGATGCAGATAAAGTCGACGGCGACACGAAACCAGCAATCAAGGCGCTTAATAACAAGCTCCAACTGCCCCAACCCCCAGCCAGCAGGCAATTGCCTGCGCCCTCGACTCCGCCAAGTTCTTAACGCCAATCGCAGTGCCAAGCTCAAGCCCAATCCCGATCCAAGTCGCTGCGATATAGCTGACAGCTGCGTGAAGAGCGACAGCATTGCGATTCCCACATTTTGGAGCAAAAGTTTTGTCAGTGATTTTCCCTTTTATTTATTTTGTTTTTGTTTTTTTATTTTCTTTGACTTTCGCACTTGAATGAGCCCACAGGACTCAACTGTAGGAAGGCAACTGTCGCTTATCGCCTTCGCCAGAGAGATAGTCTGGCAATGTGACCTCGAAAGAAAGTTGGTCACTGGAGAGTTAACTGACAAATGACGTTATGAACTAATATTGCCTAAGTATGGGTCAGGCGATATGCATTATAGGCTAAAAGAGGAAGCCATTCATCCTTATTCCAATTGAAGACTGAACTTTATTGAATAGCTAGCTATAATATGCTAGGAAACATGTAGATAGACCTTGATCCTATTAAAAAATTTATGTTCCATTTAATATGTATATGTATGTACATATATGTGTATATATAAATATATATGTACATAGTACATATATGTATGTGTTCCTTGTGTAATATATAAAACATATTTGTTATACTAGACATATTTTGTATATGTACATATATGATGTATGTTATATACTCATATACATATGGCATATGATACAGTTAGTCGAGCTCTATGCTTTTTTCTGTAGGTATATAGATTAGAATACGGTTATAATGACGCTCAAGGCACCGTTCTTATACCCGGAAGACGCCATAACCGTATAACTATGGGACAATGGGTCTTGTACCCGGAAAACGCTTTAACCGTATGAGTCTGCTCATATAAGTTTGGGTGAGGACCAGAATTTTCGTCGCAATAACCGTACGAACGCTCTAAGCGGAGTCTTTCTAACCAGATTAGATAATCAGATTCTACGGTATATAGATATATGTACATATTTTTAGATATATACAAACGTACATATAAATACATATATGCTATATATGTATGTATATATAGTTATATATATATTTGTATATAGTTATATATAGTTATAAACAGGGCTGTCTATATTCGACGGAAGCATCCGTAAACTCTATAAGGTAGCCCAAGTTTTCAAGGATCAAAAATTTCGTCGACGATAATAATCATTTTATTTAGCTTAAGTAGATTTGTTAACAGCACTTTTTTAACACAACTCTCAAATGGCCGCCTTGAGCCTGTACGGCGTATTGTGCCCGTTGCTGTCAAAATATATAGAGTTGCCAGATGAGTCGAATATAGACAATCCCGCACATACAGATATAATAATATATACTCGTATATAATCAGATTCCATTGCATTTACCCTTTTTTTACTCACTTTTCACACGCATCACTCATTGGGTATATTGTCATACAAATACCCTAGAATTAGCTGTGTTCTTGGACCATTTTGTGAGGTCTGCTCATCCAGTGACCTTGCGTAATGCCAAATTGACAGCAGCTACAAACGGCAGCACCAAATGACACAACAACAACAACGACAACAACAGCAACAACAACTGCAAACAGAGAGTCGTTAAAACAAAGAAGAAGAGGAAAAGCAATGGATATTAAAAACAAAAACAGACACAGAGACAGAGAGGAGCAACAAAAGTTCTCAGGTAACCAATGGATTGGTTCAAGTTAGTGATTGCAGAGTTTAATAGCCGCATTATTACAGCCAAACAGATCCATGCAAAAGCCATAAAAAAAACAAAACAAAACTGCGACTGCGACTTCGACTGTGGCTGAGGCTGCAGCACGTTCGCGCTGCCTTGCCCCAAACGGAGGCAGCAACAGCAGCGGCAGCCGCATAAAGCAGTTGCAACTGCACCATTAATGCGCTGCAAGTTAATGAATATTGTGTTTCATAGCCATCCAGCAGCAGCAGCAGCAGCAGCAGCAGCAGCCGCAGCCGCAGCAGAAGGCCGAGTCGAGCCTTTAACAGCTTCCGACTGGAAGCCGTTTGTTGACTGCTGCAGCTCAATAGAAAGTGCGAGAGAGGGGGAGAGAGAGAGAGAGAGAGAGAAGCGATGCAATCTCGTGGCAGCTTGTGCTTATGCTTATAGATCGAATGAGCCGCTGACGCCCGTGGAAGGTCGTGCACGCCATCAACAGATCAGAGCACGACACACTTGCGCCTATGCAAGCGCCGTCGTCTCCGCAGTCAACCCCAAAGACGGAGCCAAGTGTAGGCGTAATTGTTTTATGTTGTGCGCTTCGCTACGGCAAGCAGCCAGTGCAGCAGATAGAGAGAGGCGGAGAGAGGGCAAGAGAGAGACTGAGAGAGTGAGAGAGAGAGGGGGGTAGAGCGAGTGAGTGAGAGCGAAAAGTTACGAGCTGGAAGCTTGGGCTTGGCTTCGTTCCAGAAGCAGCATGCCTTTTAAATTGGCCGACCGTACCGCCTACCCAGCCATGGCAATGCCAACGCCAACGCCGACTCCAGCTTCAACTCCAGCTCCAACTCCGACGCCGACTCCAAGTGCGACTCCAACTCCAATGGCATTGCCATCAAATGGTTGCAGGTTGCACTTGACTCGCGCCGCATGCAGCATCAAGGAGCCATGCGGCATCCCTTGGCCCAATGAGCGCATTTTCAATTTTATGCTAATTAGTTTGGATGCGACTGCAGCCCAGGCCCAGTTGGGCCCAGGTGCGAGCGCCCGCAGTGGCCACCATTCAATGTGCAACGCCTCGAACGACGCCTTCACGCGCCCTGAAACTGCATGAATGAATGAAACGCTGCCCCCATTAATAGGCAGCAGACGGTAGCCTCTGCACCTGCGACGGTTCCTTGCCCAAATCTAGGTAAACAAACATTGCATCGAAGCATCGAATTATCTTGTCTAATGTGTTCTGTTTTGTGATATGATATGGATCTAAGAGCGTTCAATCTAGTAACCTAGTGTTAGACTACATCAGTTTTTAATGGGGATTACGAATTCAAAAGATTTCCATTTCTTTTGACATCTTCTATTGGCACCTAGTTCCCATAACTAGGTGGGATGGAGATCCATATATCTTGAGGGATACGAAAAAATTTAGTGAGGGTGGATGGATGAGCCAAAATAGGACGAAGAATTCACGGAGGGATACTAATTTGTGACGGGAGATGGAGAGAAAGACAGAGAGAGAGAGAGAGAGAGAGAGAGAGAAAAAGGGAAAGAGAGAGAGGGAAATAGATTGATAGAATAAAATAGTTAGAAATAGAAACATCGAAATATGGATATAAAGAAAAGGAAACACATATGTATTTGCGAGAGAAAAGGTATGAGAAAGAGACAGAAAACTGAAGTTATTTAGAGTCAGAGACAGAAAAAAAGAGTAGAGCAAAGAAAGCGAAAAATGTCCATAGAGATAGAAATAGAGAGAGATACAGAAGGAGACCCAGAGAGAGCAAGAATAAGAACTTTAGAGAATTAGTAATTGAGAATTGGAGAATATTAAGATTAGGGAATTAGATGATTATTGCTTTAGAGAATTATAGCAAATTGCCTTACATATAAAATTGCAGAAAGAGAGCATGGTGAAATGGGATAAGAATAGAAGTAGGGGAATGAAGAGAGTTAGAGAAATAGAGGAAGGCAGATAAACTGTGGAGGGAGCCTTGTGGGTGGCAAACAGAAAAAGATAATGAGATGAAAAATCGGTCAGAGAGAGAACAGTTATAAGATGGGAAAGATAGAGAGAGATTTATAGAGAAGTATATATAAAACAGACAAAGAAAATGAGCAGGAGATAGATATAACAAGGATAGACAGAGAGGGTACAGAGATTAATATAGAAAATCAGATGCACTAATAGAAAGATGCGCAGAGAGAGAGAGAGAGAGAGAGAGAGAGGCAGGGGGACACAGAGTGAACCAGAGAGAGACAGAGAAAGAAATATTATTATTATTATTAGCAAGTATTATTATTATAATTAGCATATAAAAGTTGATCTCTTCTGCGATTCCCTTGGAAATGCCTCATCAAAAACAAATAAAGTCTAATATGGAAGGATTAGAGAGATTTCCTTTCCTCTAACTAACTCTGTAACATCTTGAAAAATACCGAAATCCTAAGAGAAATATTACCTCCAATCAGTCGACCTGCATTCTGTGACAAATTATCTACAAATCACTTCAAGCTGTGGGAAAACAAAGACAATAGACCATCGGGCCTGCCCAGTAGGTGTAACTGATATGCCCTCAATGGTCAATGGAAGAACAGGGTATTTAATTTGAATTAAATAATTACGTAACTATATGAGCCGAATACGGGGTGCAAGGCATTACTTTCGGGTTGATTAGCAGCGTTTGCTGCAGCTGCGTATGGAAATGAGGCAGACGCTGAAGAGCAAGAACAAGAAGAAGAACGGCGAGAGATTTCATGAGAATACAGTCCATATTGCGCTGAGCGGCCCCAAGCAATTGCAACTTTAATTGAACCCAATGAAAATTATGGACAAGCAAATTTTCCCACAGATTGCCAAAGGTTTAACGATATTTTTTTTTTTTTGCAATTTTTTTTTTTTTTTTTTGTGATTTCGAACGTAATGAGCCTTTAAGTCAAACGTAGACCTGACAGCTTCAATGGCTTAAACGTAGCACAGAAGCTGCAACTAACCACAAATCACAATAACACCCATGCCACACACACACACACACATACACATACACATGGATTGAGGTGAGTGTGTGTGGATGTGGAAGGGAACGCATAATCATTATCACTCAAATTGGGGGCCCCCTCGCGTGTGTGTGTGTGTGTGTGTCTGCCCGATCCAAAGACCAATTATATATTGAAACCCAGAGACGAGACCAAAGAGAGTGACTGAGAGAGGGAGAGGGAGGGAGAGGGAGAGAGTGTGTGTGTGATCAGCATATTCGTATATGCATATGAGCTGGTCCGACACTTAAACGGTCTACAACCATGAAATGGGCAGATCCCGGCATCGAAAATCCCAATTCGAATACCGTAACTTAAGCCCATGAATTAAGCGGCCGCAGCTGATGATGAGAACCGAGCCAAAGCTCAAACCCAAACTGAAAGCCAAAGCCAAAGCCAGAGACGAATTGGAATCGATGTCCAGCGATGCTGACCACCACGACTCCACAAAATGCAACTCGAATTTCGCATGTGTGGAAAGAGAGAGGTAGAGCTGACAGAGGCGGAGAGAGTAATGCGGCTAGGCGGTACCAAATTTATAACTTAGATCATAAGTGAACCTCTCAACGCGCGCATAGAGCAACAGCGCCTCGAGCATAATAAGTGCATTCGCCTGCAGCTGAAGCGTTTCAGGCAAATTATAGTCCACACAGGCGATCAAAGATTGTTTTCGCCTAAGCAAACGTTTAGATAGGCTAGATAGACATATACATAAAGTTGTCATAAGAAATGATAGTTTTAAATGACATTCAACATATAAAGTTATGATATATGATATATGTATCTATCAAACGCTTGCCGCTCAATAAATGAATTTCCGTGGCCCTCTTTGCGATTCTCATAAACTCAAGCAGACGCTTTCTTTTATTATACGAACTATTTTGTTGGACTCCTCCTCCTTGCCATCTTCAATTTGAGCTAGAAATCGAATTCGCCATAATATAGCAGTAGTTGCATGTATTAATGTTTCTAAATATTTATATTTCTTACGGTTAATTGCAAATAACAGAACATATACGCTTTATAAATCAGATCTATTATATATATAACTTATAATTCACGCCATTCAAATAGCCTATTCTTCCACCTTAATTGTATACTACAACCATTTGACAGCTTTCAAGCTCTTCACCACACCGCATACACACACCTTTGCTGGCGTCATCTACTGCCGCGCTTACGCAACTACTACTTAGTCAATGCATACAGCGCACATGCTTAAAAGCACCGCATTAGCATAGACACACACCACAGTGCTCGCACTGAACGCAACTAGATACTCATACAACGACGAACATCGCACGAACTTAACGAATCGAGCGAACACTGAACGAAAACTGAAAGAAATCTGAACGAAATGTACCCGCTGTTAGTTAACAGGCAAATTGTCAGATTCAAAATACATGCGACTTTCGTGGTGAGCGGACGTGTTTTTTTTTATTATTGTTGGTTTTGTTGCTTCTGCCCAAGTACTCGACGTTTGAGTACACCGCTTAGTGCGCGTCGTAGATTGTGTTTATTGTTGTGAGTACTGCAAGCTGTTGTTGTTGTTGTCGTTTTGGTAATTGCCTGCCATACAAACACACACACACACATACACGCAGCTAAGTCAGTCATGAATTGGAATCGGTGCGCGCGGTCGTGTGTGTGACGGTTTGTTGTATCTGCAACTGCATCTGTATTGTTGTACCAACGTATATTTTCGTTACGGTAATATTCGTACATATTGTACTTTTTTCTATCATATTTTTTTACTGTTGTTGTTGTAGTCATGAAATGTTATTAGAAATTGACGACAAGACACGCCAAATTAATAACACAGCCCAGACGTGATATGTGTATGTGTGTGTGTGACTGTGTGCTATTGTATCTATGTGCACATGTGTGTGTGTGTAGTGTGTAGTGTAGCTGTATCTGCAGCCGTGCATCCGCAGCAGCGGCTGTGCTTAAGCAAGAGTTTTGAACGAGACCAAGTTGGATGATTCTTATTGGATTGTTGTGGTTGTTGTTGGTGCCGCTGCCGCTGCTGTTGTTGTTGTTGTTGTTGTTGTTGCTGCTGTTGCTGTTGCGTTGCCGGTGAATGAACCCAACCGAAAAAAAAACGCACAACAAACGTACGCGACGTACGTTTATGTACGTGTGTGTGTGTGTGTGTATGCGAGTGTGTGAGACCACAAAATGGTGGTAGAAGGTAGAAGAGCATTAAACATTTCTCGAAATATTAACCCAACTGTGCACAACGGCATAAAGCCTCAAACAACAACAGCAACAATAACAACAACGAAAGGGAAGTAAGAAAAAGTCAAACGAGCAAAAGCGTCCGCCGTTTTGTTTAATGTCTTTTTCACAGTTGCTTTTTGTTGTTTAACAGCAACAATAACAATAACAATAACAATAGCAACAAAAACAATGGCAACAGCAGCAAACAATTATCATTTACATTCTATCTCTCCAATTAGAACTTACACACACACGCACGCACACATGCATACTTGTTATCTTATCAGCTATAATCTTTTGCAATCTGTTGGCAGCATTTGCGCGCAACACACAAAAAAATACACATCAAAACAGCTGCCTTTGAAATTGACTGACTAACTAAAGCTGTCCATGTACACCAATACATATACATAACATGCATGTATATAACACTTCTGTTATATACACGTATGTAGATTTACATAGCTGCATGCTACATGCATTACTCAGAGCTTTTTTTTATATTTTTTTGTTTTTCGTCTGCGTGTGCCATATCCGATAGCCGATACCGGTTTAAGGTCTTAAGGATTCGCAACTCGATTCGCAGAAAGCGGGGTGCGCCAAAAGGTGCTCTGCCTCTCTCTCTCTCTCTCACTCTGCCGCTCGCGCTGCCTCTGCCAGCAGCTTGTCTTCGTCTTCTGCTTCGGCTTCTTCTGCTGCTTGTGCTCACTCAGTGCTGC